TGTTAATGGCAGCTACCTTTGCCTGGAAAACACTTCAGTTATTCGGAAGATTAAATTTGAGGTTGACCGGGAGCTCGCTGTAAAATACCCATTCGTCAAGCTTCATTCCACCCGTGTGAAACTGCACCGCAGTTTGCTTTCAACTACTGCCTCCCGTTCACGTATGCCTAGAGGGCAACGCAGTGATCATCTTATCAGGAATAGAGTCGAAGCCTTCCAGAATACTATAAAGTTAAGATCTTGGGTCAGTAAATGATGCATTGCTCCTAAGTTTGACTGCAGCTGTTGGAAGAATTTTTTCCTTAAGATACTAAGAAATAACAAAAAAAAAAAAAACAAAACAAATAGTATAAACTTACTGGTATTGATCAAAATTAATATCTCTCAAGGTACATAAATGGTAATATATATACGAAAAGGAAGTAATTTCGCATTTCATACAAACACATTTGTATAAACAAATTTTAGAGGCGAAGCCCTGTGTGACCGTATTCTGCTTGTTGGCTGGTTTAAACTATATAAAAAAATAAACAAACATGTATACAATTAAAACAATGACGAAAAAATCTACAAAGTACGCCACGTAAATATGTTACTAATTTTTTCGAGTAATGGTTTAATCACGTTTTCTGCGGTTACCTAGCTTTTTTACTTGGCAACTTACCTCAATGCTGCAAATTATCTCACCAAACCGTTCAGCTTCATTCCACATCTGCTTCTTCAATTGATTTGGGTTTTTTATTTTGACTACATACTTTGTTTGTATGTTTGGCTTTCTTGGGGGTTTGGGTCTCTTAAGAATGTCAAGAGGTATACGACTTGTTGATACCACATCGGAGCATAGTTATGTGCTTTGAAATGTATTTTATCACCCAAAACTAATTTATTACTGTAAGCAAATTAATTTGGCTCACTTTTTGTTGCCTTTTTGTTCGGCAACTTGCTTCGCTTATTAGTTTTTCTGTACAAGTGACTTAAACATAAATAAATAAAAATAGTAATTGGTACATACTAAAATAAAATCCTCTTTTACAAATCGCAAGACCGTACATTGACTTCAAAGATTTTTAAACAATAAAGTTCAACAGGTTTTAGATTTACAGCACAGTTGTAAATATAAAATCGGTACATGCTCTTGCATTGTTAATTTTTATGGTAAATACAAGTACTTTGTAATAAAACAAAAATTACATAACAAGTGCTGCTCTAAAGGTGAAAAATATTCAAGCGGCAAGGTAACTTATGCCGCCATAACCTGGCTATAGCTATATCAACGTATATAAAAGTATAAATAACTAATAATTAATTAAAGCTCCGCCAACACGTAGAATTGTATGCATGCATAAGCGCCAACAGATTATTAATAATTATTATATTATTAGCCTATTATAATTAATACATAATTATTATGAAACGCGGCAATAATTAAGTCTCTATTAACATATTTACATTACGTGCATACTTATGCATTCATATATGGTGCTTTTTTGCTCATTCGTCATTAAGCTTTTGTCTTTAACAGGCGTATTTCTTCCAGTGTATATTTGTCGATATAAGTTGATTGTTATAGCATACCTTTAGGCGCACACAGTGTGCAGCACTCACATTTCCGCCATTGCTTGTTCATTACTAACGTACTTGTCCGCTTTTTTTCTTCTTTTGTCTTGTTTTGTCTTTTGCAGAAGAATGGGTAACAAAAAAGAAAACAGAACTTACAACTACACGCCAAATCGAAACACGCGTTAAGCGGCAATTGGTGCTGGAAGATGGCAAAGTTGTGGAGGATTCAGGACCAATTGTCTCAACGAATACAACGGAAGATACTGATAAACAGGAAACGGAAACAACAGAGGTGAGTTTTTTGGAAACGGAAGTCAAAAGACACATACATACATACATACATATGTAAAGCCGTATAGAAACATGTAAATAAATTATTTTTTTATATAAAAATAAATTTGTGCATCATGCATATGTACAGCAATAAAATAAAAATAAAAAATAAAAAATAAAAAAATGTACGTTAAATGAAATTAAATTGAATAAATATAAAATAAAAAAGTATATAAAAGATTATATTAGATATGTATGTATACTAGGGTGGTCCTTAAATGTAGGAAGCAAATTTTTACATCCGATTTACTAAGCCTTAACCCTTACGTCGATGCTACTATTGTTGAAGATATTTCATACATATTCATTTGGGTCCCGATTGGACACGGTTATGGCGTGTCGTACAGGGGGCATAGTTCAGATTCGTCCATGGAGACTCAAAAAATAAAATAATGTATTTTTTTCCATTTAATACCCAAACTCGATACTGCCATAGTCGAAGATCTCACATATAAATTTTGGCCCCAATTGGAGTCGGTTGAGCTACGTGTATGAACACGTCGTAACCGACTCCAATCGGGACTAAAATTTATATGTGATTTCTTCGACTTTAGTAGTATCGGTTTCCAGTATTAAAGGAAAAAAATATTTTGAATTTTTGGAGTCTCCCAAGAGGCATCTGGCTTTTGGCCCCTTTGCGACACGCCTTAACCGTCTCCAATTGGGACCAAAATTTATATGTGATATCTATGACCGCGGTATTACCGATTGAGGGTGTGAGACTGAAAAAAATCGTTCATTTGATTTTTTAAGGACCACCCTAATGCATACACACATATATACAATAAAGTAAGTAGGTAAAATATACAATGAAATAAAATAAATAAATAATAACACAAAACAAAATATGAACAATAAAATAAAATAAAAATTAAATGAAACTACGGTAAATTTAATGAAAGAATTAAATAAAATTATATGAAATAAAAACCAAAAATAAAAATACTTAAGAAAAGAACAATAAAATTAAACTAAATTAAGTGAAAAATTATAATAAAATTAAATAAAACAAAATACAATAAAATGAATTCAAATAAAATGAAATTAAAGGAAAAAATAAATAAAGTACTATAATGAAGAGCAATTAAATTCAATGAAATAAAAAAAAATTAGAAAAATAAAATAAAATAAAATAATAAAGCAAAATAAAACAGAGGCAAATTATGTGAAATATGTACAAGAAAATAAAAACGAAAATTCAGAAATTGGGAAAAATTGATATGAAACAAGAGTTTACACGGGGCGTTCCCAGCTCAATGGGAGAATGCGGACTTAGTGGTTTTGACCCCTTGTGAAGCCTGGAATGAAGTATAATTAAGAGGTAGATCTACTTAAGAAACAGATCTCAAATTTCAGCTGTATATTTTATGGGATAGATTTGCTATAAAAAAAATTAATTGAAATCATACATTGCGCCGTAAGTAAGATTAGAATCCAGCTCTCAGGAAAAAACAAAAAGATTCATACAATATCGCTCACGAAATGAAAAAGAAATTTTCTTTTATCAAAATTTCTTAAATCAGTTTGAAGCTTTCAAGAAACAAATGCTCGTATAACTTTTTTTTCTTCCCTTTGTATCTGTCAAATCCTTCTCCGATAGTAGATTTATTCAATGAGGTCCACCAAACTGTGTTGCCGTAGAGCATAATAGGGCGAGACACTGCATTGTAAGTACATCCAGTGTTAGGTACTGATGGCTCTCCCTGTTCTTTGTTCGGATTACCATTTCAAGGAAAGCTTCCTGTACAAAATGATACCCAAGTACCTAACATCGTTGGCCAGAGTCAATGTGGGGCCATTGAGCGAAGAAAGTTTGAATTAGGGTAGTTTGTTGCGAAATCGGGGCAACTGAGGAGGAAATGCTGAAATGACAAACAGCTGCGGCAATAGATATCCGAAACGATATTATTTCGTGCCAAATGTATTCCTGATGAACAGTGCTCAGTCAGAACAACTGCCGGAACCAAGAGTTGGCGACTGAGACGACTTTAAGCCAATGTTTCCAGTAATAGGCTCGTTCCAGAGAAATATCCGATTTGAATAAGCCTCGGTACGCATCAATCCGCTTATTCAGGTATGAAGTTGCAGTTTGCAAAGACTTCCGAGGGCTCATAAAACAACCGTGTTGAAGGACTGGTTTAGTACCACTTAGCCTATTGGCCGAGCAGACTGCAACTGCCCCGCCCGCGACGCATAGCATTAAGCCCTATTGTGGAAGTGGTCGCAAGCGCAATCACTAATTTCTACAAGGGATAGCCTTTGCATCCGCTCTAAAACCTTAACTAAAGCAGAATTTTGTAGTGAAATCTGCCAGACAATATTCCAATACAAAATTATTAGACCGATTATGGTTTCATACTGATAATTTCAGCCAAAACTCAAAAGAACAAAAAAAAAATAGGCAACAGCATTTAAATAAAAGAAATTTTCCATATTTCATTCCAGAAACGCGATTTAGGTATACCCATCGATGGCGTTGCGGTGGAGGCCAATAGCGGTGCATTAGAGGCGCCTTCTGACACCGTTGACGGCCAAATGGCTCTGCAGCCAGCTGATCAAGCAAAGAGTATTAAGAAAATGGTGCCACGCCCTGCAGATGGACTAGTGCGCGATTCGAATGAAAAGCGCGTGGTCTCACATGAAGAAGTCAAGGATTATCTTGAAACGGAGGATGTGCGGAACTTGGGAGATTTCTCAGATGAGGTAAGCCTCACTAGCAAATAAATAAATTCATGCTTGGCTTTTGTCTTTCTAACACTTTTATTAGGTCATTTGTAATTGTATTGAAAGAATTGAATTTTACGGTAACTGTGGCATAGAACTGTGTTTGTTGTGGCAAACTTACCTACCAGTATTTGATACGGCTTCAGCACGCGTTCTACATTAGTGCCGATAACTACAGCAAGTACACAAACAAACAGCTGCAAATGCAAATGTTTTTCAAACCGCTTTACATTAACGAACGGTCTAGACCAGACAGACAGACAAATAGGCAAATACTAAGCGCAGCGTAGGCATTTTGACTATTCGCAGAAATGAATTTGCACAAAAATCTATGTAGCTATGTTACTAACTATGGATACTTGTTGTCAAGCCAGCTGGTTAGCTGCCTAACTTGCTGGCGGCTGCGGCTGCGGCTGTGGCCTGATAGGCAAGCAAGCTGGTATTAATATTACCCCAGTCCGGTTATCGAAGTTGAAGTACTCGTTACTTTAGTTGCATTTTTTTCGCGAAATTACGAATTTTTCGCTAATAATGAGGGAAAGGCAAATTTATTTGATTTTTAAATGAATGAGCCGATTGTAGTCCAGCTTAAGCCGGTGGCATTTAGTGGAAAATATTGGTGTGCATTAAATGCATTTATTGTTGGCACTTATATATGAATAAGAGTATATAGGTACGGTGACCAGATTTCTGTAGACAAAAAATCGGGACATTTGTAATGCATCGAATATGAACATACAATTTTGTGTTTTTAGAATAAAAAGACATAACATCTTCTAATACAGTTTTATTTAAAACAAAGCAAGGAGTAAAAAACTTGAAAAATTATCGCAAAAATGTATACACAAAATATATACGGTGGCGAGAATGTCAATAGGTAAGAGACATTTTGGCAAGTTTTGGCTACTTTTGTTTTTTTTTTAATTTTCATTATTTTTTATGAAAATATAGCTTACTATCTAAAAAAAACTATGTAAATGAAAATTTTAAAACCTTGAATTTTATTAAATGCTGATAAAAATTTTTTAACATTTTAAACAGATTTTTGAGAATTATTTTGAGTATGCCCATTCAATTCAAAGTGCAAGTTTAAAGTAGCTTGGACTTAACGTTGATGTTTGGCAATTTTTTTGTTCGCGCGTTTTCTTCCATACAAAGTATGTTCGATAATTTTTTTCTATGGAGAAAATGAGCAATACCTTCCACAAAAAAATTTACAAAAAATAAACGGTAAGTCCAAGCTACTTTAATTTGAACTTTGAATTGAAAGGGGCTTTAAAAAAATTTAGCCAAGAGTGATAGACTGTAATATAGAGAGAGTACCAGTCTGACAGAATAAAACATAACCAAAGATCATAGAAAGTAAAGATGCTGGCTATGTTTATGGTTCCCTTATAGTCTATGTTCTTTGTGATAACGCATGTGCAGCCACGTTTGTAAGAAAAATTGTTTTTGGGTCAGAGTACAGAGAGAATCTTTTTAAATTAATAAAGAATACACTAAAAATCGGGAAATAATTGGTACAAATATGAAAACTCGAGCCACTCATACGTTCCGACATTTAAAAAATATTCAGCGGGACAATTTTTTCAAAATCGGTACTGTCCCTCCAAAATCGGTACGAATGGTCACCGTATATATAGGTGTAAGTTTTGTATATGCATACATATTTCTAAATAAGTATGAGCATAAGCATACATGTAAATATGTATGTGCATATCTGCACACGTGTTGATTAGCTTACAATTAAAAGGCGAATAATAAAAACCTCGCATTTTCTATCTATGTAAGTACATAATTGGGGCGGTTGTATTTGATATGCAAAACATGGTTTAGATTTTTGACTATGAGAAATGCGTGTCAAAATGCAGCGAGCATAGCAAATGCATTCGCACACTTTAAATGTACAATGCAGTCCGTACTCTGGTTTTCCTTACCAAGTTACGGTGCTCAGATCGCCTAGGGATCTCGAAACTTATGCGTTGAGGATCTGAGAGCGACGCTTCGTCCGAAACTGGCCAGTTCCATATAAATTCAGAGCTTTTTTCTCCTGCACAGAGTGACATCAAATACCTCCTCCATAACAACGGTATTTAAAGTAGGTTTGTAGAAGATATTCTAAATGGTACTCACTCATTTCATTGATCTCGGAGCTGCTACGCTACCCTGCAACAAATTGTGCGACTAATCTCTAAAGAGAGTATTCCGAGATTACTCTCAAATAGGAACAATTGGGCATTAATTTGTCATGGGGATCAATTAGGCTCGACTCATTCCTTACGGGTATAATTGGAGATAAATTAGGCCCCGACTCAACTCTAACGGGTATTATTAACGATTTAATGATATGTACGAATTTAGTCAATGAAATTTTATGTGCCGCGTTGGCACATAGAGGAGTAGTCGCTTAACAAACCTGAACACTCTGGTTCGAATCGCGGCTGGCGCAAATTTTTTATTTTAATTTTTTTAAAGTAACTAAACCGTTTTTTTATCCGTTCGGGTATAAAGGGGAACAATTAGTCTCTTCATAGGACATGCTCGATCAGAAGCGAACAATTCATTCCATATAAAGAGATCAAAAGTGGTATTAGTCGCATGTTCCTTTGGGATTGCTCTCGGAGTCATCCCGGATTAGTCGCATTTTTGCAGGGTAGGTATCAGAGAACAGCTTTGAGTATGATCGAGCCTTTTTGATCACACTCACTAAAAATCAAGCACAAGCGAACGCCACACTCGGCTACTATGTGTTCGATCGAGATGCATACCCGACAGCTGCTTTGGTTACGAACGAGTCTGTTCGATCACCCTCGCTATAAATTGAGAACAAGCGAACACCACACTCGGACACCCGCAGCTAACCCGAAAATTTG